GCCTCTCGCCAGACGACACGTCTGCCACGCCGGCACAGTCGCTCCAGACCGAAAGCGTCTCGCACAATGTTTTTATTCCTTATCAAAGTTGGTCAGAAAAACATTCCTATGATCAAAGCGTGCCCACTGAGTCCTTCTTCAACTGCGGGGAAAGTTTTATAGGAAGCCCGCGTCCACTGTCCACCACCGTCTTGCCCGCAATTCTTCCATAACACATTTAACTAGCTTCCGCCTACTCTGTCTGCCAAAATCTTGGTCCCTTCTCCATTGCTATTCTGTCGCCGTCCAGCGACCTCCGCCACCGATCCACCATCCGCTCTTTCCCGCTCTGTACCACGACAGCGCCTGCAGAAAAGCGGACGACAGGAAACCAATCAGCTGACGGCGGCGCCGAGATAACGAACACTGACGCCTGGACAGCCCTGATGACTGGGAGCCGCCTTCCCGATTAGATGCACGACACGCACGGACATCTGTCAGGATCGCAAGCCAGCGGCATCCACGGAGAACACTGCCGTCACAGCGCAAGGTCTAAAAATTGGCGGCAGCGGAAGCGCGGTGGAATCTTAACTCGAATTCTTAATTCGAATCTTAACTCGCGCTCAGCTAATCCCGGCCAGAAGACCACATCATGGGTGGTCATGCGGTCATCCCGACCAATCATGAGTAAACCTGTCTTCACTAATGAAGTAATCTGTGCCATTAGAAATGCGTCCAAAAACGTCACCGACAGTGTATTTAATTCCGTGTCGCGTGGCCTATGACCTTTGCAGCCTAGGCTAAAGAGTCAGGGGAAGGAGGCCGATGCCGGGTAGCTCCGGTTTATCTCCATCGCTTCCCCAACTTTTCCACTATTTGGAACTAACCTGTTGAAAAAGGCAAACGGTTGGCTGACGGTTGAATACAACCGATTAGGTATGCGTAGCGCGTGGGTATGGACACAGGTCCATGGGTTAGCGGTTGGGCTGGGTAAATGCAACCTTATTCCACCCTGCAGCCTGCAGGCCTCAAACGAGCCCCCGGGTCCTTGCGGTCGATTTTCCCGCCCGAGGCTGCCGCCATGCCGCTGGGGTCGTTAGCCGTGACCTAATTACCGGCTGTCGCGACAGCCTTCTGCTGGCGGCGGTAACCCGGCAACCCTTCCACTGGAGACGGTAACCGGGCAGTCTTCACTGGGGGCGGTGACCTTCCGCTGGGGCAGTGACCGGCAAGCCTTCCACTGGGGGCGGTGACCTTCCTCTGGAGGCGGTGACCGACCAACCTTCCTCTGGAGGCGGTGACCGGCCCACTTTCCTCTGGAGGCGGTGACCGGCCAACCTTCCTCTGGAGGCGGTAACAGGCCAACCTTCCTCTGGAGGCGGTGACCGGCCAACCTTCCACTGGAGGCGGTGACCGGCCAGTCTTCCCCTGGAGGCGGTGACCGGCCAGCCTTCCTCTGGAGGCGGTTACCGGCCAACCTTACGCTGGAAGCGTTGACCGGCCAGTCTTCCTCCGGAGGCGGTGACCGGTCAACCTTCCTCTGGAGGCGATGACCGACCAACCTTCCGCTGGGGGCGGTGACCGGCCCACCTTCCCTGGAGACGGTGACCAGCCAACCTTCCGTTGCAGGCGGTGACCTTCCGCCGCAGGCGATGACCTCCCCCTAGAGGCGGTGGCTTTCCGCTGAAGGCGGTGACCTTGCGCTGGAGGCGGTGACCCTCGGAGGCGGTCCTCCGCTGATTAACAAAAAATGTCAGAGGTGAATGCAAACGCCGCATGATGAGATAGTGGGATATGAAACGCAGCGAATGCCATTGTGAGATAATGAGATAATAATGAATGTGACACCCATCCATATGCCCGAAATGTTAAAAGTCCCTTCGTCAAATGTTGATAAAAAGGACTTACAAGCTCGCCCTTTTCTATTATCATGTTGCAAAAAACCGAACACCGCACGTGATTCGAGTTAATAATTTGGATGAAGAACAGTCAAAAGTGTTGCGACTTTAATATACATGTTTTTTCACCTGAGTGCAATGCTACTTCTAAATGTCCTGAGAGATACGAAAATGAGAATAAAGTTGGTGTGCCGAAATTGTGGCCGATGCTACTTCAGATAAATATATGTATTGCTATTTATCAACAGGTAAGGATTATGTAACCCCTTGTGAACACTATGTCACCGCGCTCCTTATCAACGACCCTGAAACGCAGCCAACACAGGGAGTTTACACTGAAAATGCATTCCGAGGAAGTTCCGCATTGCGGATCTCGGGATTTTGCTGGACTAATTCTCACGGTCCGGTTCCAAACAATTGCCAGCAATACGAACTAAGCTTCCGTTTGGATAGCAAATGCCGAAAAATGCCCGGTCGTATTGCAGCTAGCCACTGGAAATGCCCTGTCTCGAGCCTCCTGGGTTCCCGCACCGTTCTGGTGCCCACAAGGCCCCGGCCGCCCACGGACCGAACACGATCCAGCTGAGATAGCTAGATGTGCTACACCCATGAAGTGTTCGCAACCACGCCCTTATTTACATGCAACTTTTACCTGTAACTTTCGTGGTGACACTGCTCCATTCTAAATGCAAACTTTAGTGGTGGACTGCTCCCATTTCGGAGTTCGTGAATGAATGCTGAAGAGGATAACAATGGCGCGTGATCACCGCATGTCAACGCAGAAGGCCAACCTCCTGGCCGACAATGGCGCGACCTATCGGACGGCCGATTATAGTTAGATATGACATCAATTGAGCAACCCACTGCCACCCGCCACCACCCCCCAACGTGGCTGAATTTATTCTCTCGCAAATTGTGATACTTAGCCCCGCACTTTTTGACGGAATACTAGCTGGTTTGACCCCACCTAGTGTCTTGCTCTTATCAGGTTTAATGCCAGCACTTTAAGGTGGAATTACTCCATGGTCAAGAGGTGGCGTTTTCGGAAATTCTTGTCCACAGTCCAATGCACGCTCAAACGTCCAAAACGTGTCGAAAATACCAGGTTCTCTCAAAGCTTCTTCTAATAACTTCCACCTGCAGCCAATAACCGTAGACAATTCGCGCCTCGCTGGATTCCCTCACCCAAATCACATGAAAATTAAGAAATTGGTCGTGGATAAGCAATGTGTACCACAGGCTTTAGAGAACGACACGACATAATGATATCGGCTGTTCCCCAAAAAATTCAACGTTTTTCCCCGGTTCATCCAGTTTCTAAACTTAATTTAGAAGATTCTGAGCTGCCAAAGATTTAAAATCCGTTGAACACCTCTTTCTCTTGAATGAACCAAGCCAACCAGAGCAACTTTTAGAGGCTTTTTTAAAAATTATTCCAACGACGGGTTAACGAGAGCAAAAAATTCCATGTATTTAAGATACTGTCTCTTCTGCGTCTTTCCTTCGGCTGTAAAGCAATGGACTAACAGTTCACCAATGGTGTACCAAGGAGATAGGGAAGTTTACCAATGAGCAAACTTCCTCATTGCTGAAAGAGGTGTAAATGGTATTTAATCGCTGAACTGTAAAGACGACGAGTGTATGTTGTTGCTCGCATACCCCTTGCAGGTTACCTAGTGCTCCCTACCTGATTGATTATTCATATCATTATCGGCCGCCTCTTGAAAAAGAAGTAAAGAAGTACGATTCCATCAGTCACGAGACCGCTTCTTTATTATAACCATCGATATTAAGCTGTAGAACCGAATTTACTAGGTACCGTTGGATCGCTGAATATATCAACCTGTTTGATGAACAAAGTTCGTGATCAACTTTTTTGATTATTCCTTTTTCCAATGGTTTGCATGGGCGACGTTGAGCTCAGACTAGCTGCTAAACATAGTTCATCACGTGTACTCTGAACCCACCACCCAAGTCGTGCTGTCCAGTTTAACGAATAATTTTGCCTTCGCCCTTCCGCCATACATGAATGCGGAGGGCTTTACGCGCCGCACAATGCTGCAG